AAAGGAATGTGTTTAGTTGCAGCTTTGATCAATGCTTTGTGGATTTGGTTCCAACAATTGTTAAGTTGATTTTGGTTAGATATATTGTTTATTTTTGAAGAGATCCTTTGGAGGCTTGTTGCAATTTGTTCAGAGTAGTTTTTAATTTTTTCTTTGGTGCAATTTTTCCAGAGAAAGCATTTACGTTTATGTTGTTTTTGAGGTTCTATATAGCATTTTCAATTTATTATTTCCTAAAAGTTGAACCAATCTATTATTTTGAAGATGTCGCTTTGTAGTATATTTAAAAGTTTTTTCATTTGCATGTGGCTATAAATTAATTATAATTTGATAATTAAAATATAAATTATATAATACAAACATATTTAATAAAATTTTAAACAATATACAGTACTGCACTAATAGCATCATAAAAATGTGAATTATTTTTTAATTTATTACATTCTTCATATATTTTAGATTCATAACTAGTAAAATTTTTATATTTAGTACTTATTAATGATAAATTTCCTCAGTTCAAAATCTATAATATATATGCTCTTTGTGTTTTATAAAGTTCTTGTCACTCACTGTAATTTAATTTGTTATAAACTAAATACTCATCCTTAAGTTTTTGTGGAAATAACTGACAAGCAAGTTCAGTTTCACTTTTTGAACTACCAAAATCTGATAAACATTTTAATACATATTGTTTAATTTGATTATTCGATAAACTCTGACACGAATAAGATTGTTATTTTGGTAGTTGATTTGTATTACTTGTTTTGTAAAATTTTTCAACACTAACTTGACCTTGTACTTTAGCATTATATGCTTTTTTACCATGAATATGACTAAAAAAAAAATCAAATCAATTAAATTATTTTTTTAATAACTCAAATATAAATAAATTTTTTACTTACATTTTTAAGTTTTTTAAAGAGTATGGTTTATCTAATTTTAGTTCTTTTCCACATATGCATCGAATTAGTTTTAGATTAATTAGTCGTGAAAAATATTTATGTCTGCGTATCTTTATTTCCTTAGAATACATATGAGATTCTCCATTAAGTGGCAACTCATTATATTCATCATCACTATTTTTATCTAAATTACTATACTTATTAAATTTCTTATCGTCATCTGTTAATTGTTCTATATTAATATTATCATCTGTTAATTGTTCTATATCAATATCATCATTATTAATTGGTAAACTAGAATCAATTATACTATGTTTCTTATAAGTAATTGAAGAGAAATTAAAAGTAGTTTGTTGAAATTGATTTTTTGTATTAGATGTTATTTCATTACAGTTAATATAATTTGAATTAGAATATTTAATGGGTAATATAGAAAAATCAAGAGTTGATTATATAAATTTTTTTTTTGAATTTTTTTCTTCATTATTTTCCATTTTATAAAAGAGTGTTTTTAATACATACTAATTATTTTATACAGATTTTAATATTTATCTGCAAAGTACATATGTATAAATATTACATATGAGTTATTAACTATATATATATTTATTTTTTATTTTTTAATACAATATAAGAAAAGATCTGATATTCTAGCACGAGATATTTTAGTACACTTACATTTTTTATATCTTGTAATACAATTAAACAGTTTTAATAATTTATTTTAATAAGATGAATCGAATGAAAAAAAAATTAATCAATTCTAATAATAACTTGAGAAAAGATTAGATATTACATATTATATAATCCTTACATTATTTTTTTTCTTATCGAACTAATTTAAGAAAAAAGATTAGCAAAGTACAATCTAAAAAGAGCTATCTGCATTAGTGATCCTAGCTGATTGAAATTTTTTAACTAGCTTAAGCTGATAAAATTTTATTAGCTTAGCTAACTTAGTCAATTTTTTATTAAAATTTCAGAATCTATTAAAAAATTAATTTTATTTATTTTCTATATTAGAA